TCTTTAGACACTAACCCTCGATAACTTCCCTTGCTGTGATTTCATCCTCACCCAGTTCCTTTCTGATAATTTGGCTTCTCAGTAAACTGGGTAGCTGAGTAGCTGACAGAGGAGACACGGGCCAATTATCATTGTATTGTCCACCTCATTGTCTTTCTTATTATAAATCATTGCAGCTTGACAAGCTTTTTTCACCTCCTCCTATCCCACCAGTCTTCCAACTCAAACCCAAGCTCTGTAATCAAATCCCTTCTGATTCATAGCTACCCTCCATCAGGTTTCTGAAGCCTTAAGTTAGAACAGGAGGAAACTGTCCAACTTTCTCTCAAGGAGCTCCTGGTGGCTTTGAATGTGCAGCCTTTGGGTTCGCCACACAACTTGCTGCTGACTATGCCACCAGGTCTAGCAAGCAGAAAGGAAAACTACACAACTCGAGTCAGAGTAGATAAAAGCCAGGGCCTTAGCACAGCAACGTGCAGAAGGTAGGTCAGTCTTAGCCTGGTAGAAAATCTGAGTGTCTTATTGATACTTGATTCCATGTCAGAGAACAGATAAAATGTTCTCGTTACCTATTGTTATGTTATTCAGAAATCAAGGAAGGAAGGAAGGAAGGAAGGAAATCTTGTACCTACCCAAAATGTAAAAGAGGTAGAATTTTTCTGGTACATGTAACTCCGTTTCAGAGGCAGAAGGGCTCTTTGGTTATGTGTAAGGAATGCTTCATACCCTTTGTAAGAATAGCAGCTACTCATGCAGCCTGTTCTGAGCTAAGACCTATGTTAAGGACCTTCATCTAAGAATTCCCTTAATCCTGGCATAGCCCTACAAGGAAAGCCAGCTAGGGTTTGGAAGTGAAGGCAGGGCGTGGTCAGGGCAGGCCTATTGGCTGACTGCCAAAGGGCCTTCCATGGAGACAGGATCATGAGGAACCATCCCTTGTCCAAGGTTGGGTGCCCAACCTTTCCCTTAGGTTCAGGAACTTGGCCTTGGCAATTCATGTAGAGGCAAGTGGCCTCTGGGCAGCTGACTCAAGCTAACAGGACTTATAAGGAATGGACAGATACAAGATACATGGCAGTTAAGAAAATGTGACACACATGGCAATTAAGAAAATGTGACAAAGTACTGCCTTTAACGTCAGAAGGGTGAGAAGGTACAATCCACTTGCTCAAGTCTCACTTAGGTCACACTGGATGCAGAAGGACATGCTCCCTGGCCTTTTGCCATTCATGTCAACTGTTGAAGTCTGCTCTTTCCATTCAGCAGTTCTCACCAATCCAGGGCAAGACCTTGTGGACACACGCTCTGTGTCATGATTCTTCAGACTGACAGAAGCTCTCTCCTTTGCAGAGTAACTCTTGCTTAATCTTTCTCCTTCTATGCTAGTATTAAGGGAATTCTTAGATGAGGATCCTTAGCACGAGTGTTAGCTCAGACAGACTCACGCACAACAAATGATACTCAGCACATCGAAGATGCTCAAGGAATTTCTGAAAGACACAATAAAAGACCCATAAAAATGGGGGGGGAAGGGTCCTGTTCATGGATAGAACACTCAATATGGTGAAAATGACAATCCTACCAAAAGCAGTCTACATGTTCAATGCAATCCCAATCCAGATACCAAATTCATTTTTCAAGGAGATTGAAAGGGAAATTATGAAATTTGTTTGGAGAGACAAGAGACCCCGAATAAGCAAAACACTTTTAAGAAATAAAAATGAGGTTGGAGGCACAGCACTCCCTGACCTCAAAACCTTCTACACAGCAGTGGTAACAAAAACAGCATGGTACTGATACAATGACAGGCAAATAGACCAATGGAACAGAATTGAGAACCCAGAAACAGACCCAACTATCTATGGTCAATTGATATTCGACAAGGAAATCAAAGCTATCAAATGAGGAAGTTAAAATCTCTTCAACAAATAGTGCTGGCAAAACTGGACTTCCTCTTGCAGAAAGCTGCAAAAGGATCCACATCTCACACCATACACAAAAATCAACTCAACGTAGATCAGAGACCTGGGAGTAAAGTTCAAAATCATAACATTCATAAGAGACAAACTGGGATCAAGCTTAGAAGCATTAGTCCAAGGTATAAAGAGACTGCAAAATACAACCAGACATATACAATCTAACGAGGATAAAATTGATGCATGATACCTTTTAAAGATTAAATCCCTGTGCACATCAAAAACTTTTTCCAACAGGGTGAAAAGAAAACCTACAGACTGGGAACAAACATTTGGTAATACCATCTCAGAGAAGAGTCTTATAACAAAAGTTTACAGAATACTCCTGGGCCTCCACAAGGAAAAGACTGATAACCCAGTTACAAAATGGGCAAAAGACATGCAAAGAACTTTCACAGAGGAAGATATTCGAATGGCAAACAGACACATGAGAAATGCTCCAAATCACTGGCAATAAGAGAGATGCAGATCGAAACCATAATGAAGTACTATCTCCATCCAGTAACAGTGGCAAAGTTTAACAGGGTAGCAAGTAATAGATGTTGGAGAGGTTGTGGCTAGGAAGAAATTCTTCTACATTGTTTGTGGGATTGTAAAATGATGCAACCATTCTGTAAGGCAGTCTGGCACTTCTTCTAAAAAGCTGAACATAGAAATTCTGTATGACCCAGCTATTCCACTACTTGGAATATACCCTGAGAATATGAGAACTGAGGCACAAACTGAGATTTGTACACCAATGTTAATAGCAGCATTATTCACCATCGCAAGAACATGGAACCAGCCCAATGTTCAACCACAAACTAATGGATTGAGAAATTATGGTACATTCACACAATGGAATACTGTGCAGCACACAGGAGCAATAACTTTGTAAATTATTACCTAACTTTGGAGGGACTGGAGAGCATTAATACTGAGTGAACTAACTCAGTCCCACAAGGATAAATATTGTATAAAACCATTATTATAGAATGAGTATAAGGATCCAGGAGGGGTGGGAGAGGCTGGAAGCAGAGGGATGTGGATGTGTGGGGGGTCCGGGGGGATTAATCATTGGGTTGTACAATTTGATGAGGGGGTGAGGGAAATTAAAAGAATTTGTTCAGACTTATATTCAAGTTTTTTAAATAAACTGTTGTTGTTGTTGTTGTTAAGTGCCATCGAGTTGTAGGCGACTCATAAGACCCTATGAATAAGAAAAAATAAAATAAAATAAAAAACCAAAGATACTCAAAGAGTGGTGGCTGGTCACAGAGCTGTTAGGACTTTAAAGAGTCTGTAGAACTTGTTTTGTTGTTGTTGTTATTGTTGTTATGTGCTGTCAAGTCAACTATGACTCATAGCAACCCTATGAAGAATGGCTCTGAAACTTGCCCTGTCCTGAGCCAACCTCACTGTCTCTGATACACTTGCCCGCATTGCCACAGACACTATATGAGATACCCTCAAATCACCTCCAACTCAGAGCAACCTAAAGTATAACAGAATAAAATCCCTTCCTATCCCGTATCATCCTGACAGTCTCCACTGTGATTAAGCCCATTGTTAGTCTTTGTGATTATCTTATTGAAGGTCTACTAATTTTCAGAGCATGACGTCATCTTCCGTGGACTGTCCCTCCTGACAACTTGTCTAAAGACTCACCATCCTTGCTTCTAAGGAACAGCCTCCTTGCCCTTCATCCAAAACAGAACTGTCTGTTCTTTTGGCAGCCCCTGGTATTCAATATTCTTCCCCCTCACTGCAATTCAAAGGCATCAATGTTTCTTTTGTCTTCCTTATTCATTGTTCAACTTTCACATACAGAAAAAGCAATTAAAAACAACATGGTGTGGCTGCGATGCAGCCTAGTCCTTAAAGTGACATCTTTGCTCTTTACCATTTTAAAGAGGCAGCAAATTTGCTTAAGTGCCAGGTGCTGAATATCTGTGGGCTAAATAATTCAGTCACATAATGCAGGACAAATACTGCTTAAGACCACTATTGTGAAAATAGGATACGCATATAGAGAGAGTGAGATATGTATAAATGTTCCAAAGGGGAAGGAGAAGGTGAGTAGGAGGCAAAGAAGGAGGGAAAATTACTGGAATAGCAAAGCTGGGTGGGCGGGTGGGGTGAAGAAAGGGAAAAAATTCAATAAGGGTTTGAGGAGACAGGGTGATAATAGGCATAGAACAGTGGTAATTAATTATATAAAATACAATCTATAGGAATGATTGTATCAAACATAAAGCACAATGTACATGAATGGAAAGAGTAAAACACTACTTTAAAAAGTATCTGTGAGCTGATTTGGCTTGCTGTGTTCAGCTGGGCTTTCTCCTCCCTCTTCCCAGAATGCTTTCCTGGTCCTGTCTCTGTTCTTGAAGAGACCACTAGTTCCCAAATGTGTTTAAGACAAAACAAAGGTTTTTCTACTGGTCCTGATAACCAAAGGCTTTTGTTTGACACTTATTTGAGGTGAAAGTGTCTCAAGTGGGTCTCCCAGTCTACCTGCATCAGACTCATGCAAGTATTTGTTAACCATTTGGATTCTCAGGTCTTATCTACACCCCTTGTTTCTTAGGGCCTAATAACCTGCATTTTAAAGTCTCTCCTGATGATGGTGGTGGTGTAGCTCCGACACACACCAAAGCTCACAAGCCACGGTCCTGTGGGCACTCACCAGGTACCTGGCACCAACAGTAAGCCCTGATTCACTCTTAGGCCCTGCCCACTTTGGCCCTTCTATCAGACAATTCAAAGTCTCCAGTCCATGAGTTACTGATTAACTTTAGGTTTCAAGGAAAGAAATAATAATAATCGAAGTGATAACATAAAACAAGAAACAAGCTGAGCAGTTCTGCAAGAGAGTGGTGGCAGACACTGTTGTCACCAGCACCTGACAGGAAAGAAAAGTAGTTTAAAACGTTCAGCGCAGGGTCAGACTCCAACCCGGTCACAGAGGAGCCGGTGAAGGCTGTCCGCTGTTATCAGCCCAGGCCGTGAGCAGCAGCATCTCCACGGGATCCCGTGCTCAGAATGGCCTGCACCAAAGTCCCGGAGCTGCCAGCACCCCAGCCGTCTCAGTTCATCTCCGAAGGAGCTACAGCCGCTAGTGCCAAGGACCCCACTGGGTGCCATCGGGTCTCAGTGGGGGCTGACCTGGAGTGCCTGGTCTGCCGGGAGCCCTACAGCTGTAGCCGGCCACCCAAGCTGCTGGGCTGCCAGCATGCCTTCTGTGCCATCTGCCTGAAGCTCCTGCTGTGTATCCAGGACAACACCTGGTCTATCACCTGCCCTCTGTGCCGCAAGGTCACTGCTGTCCCTGGGGGCCTCATCTGTAGCCTTCGAGACCAGAAGGTGATGAGGGCGCCGCTGACCCACCATGGATCTGAGGTGCAGCTCCATCCCCAGGGATTGGTAGCTTCTGGCACTTCAGCCGTGGGGCACCTCAATTTAGTGGGAGAGGATGAACAGGACACCATGAGTGCGAACCGCATGGCAGCCAGGCGCCTGGTGGCACACCTGCTCCTCCTGGTCCTGCTCGTTATCCTCATCCTCCCCTTTGTCTACCCTGGTGTCATCAGGTGGGTGCTGGCCTTCATCATTGGCCTCGCCCTGCTGATGTCCACTCTCTTCTGCTGTCACTCCAGCAGCCAGGGCAGCTGCTGGCTTTCCCCCAAGACTCTCCTCTGCAGAGAGAGGAAACAGAGCCAGATCTCTTCAGTTGCCTGAGTGCCCTGCAGTAGGGCAGCTTCAGAAGCTTTCTCGGACTCTCGGTTCCCTGTTACTGTCAAATGACCACGGTAAGGGGCTACGAACGAAAACTGGCTCCTTTGGGAGAGTAAAAGCCAGCCGGACTTGCAAGCCAAAGCCAGAGGGCAGTCTTGGGTCAAGAACACTATGCTTGAAAACCAGGGCTCATGCTTGCCCTTACCATGGCACCACCTGACTGTGTTGGGGTAGGAAGGAGGCATGATTGATTTGACTGCTACAAGGGGGCCTCCTGATCTCTCATCCCAATGCTCATTGCCTGTTTTATATGATGTGATGAAAGTATTATAATGTTGCCCTTACTGTAGAACAAATACAGCTAGGACTCTGTTTTTATTTTTTGGTTTTTTCCAAAGTATTTGACTGGCTTCATTTCCTCGGTCTATTGTTGTTGTATTATAAGCTGTTTGTTTACACGTCTAGCTGTTACTCATTTTTTTACCTTCTAGGATGTCAGAGCCCAGAACCCTCTCTACCTGTGCTTCCCCAGTGCTATCCACTTGTGTCCAGTCCAGGTTTACCAAGTGCCGAGTCTTGGGTCTTGCATTGAGTTGACCTAGGGTTTGAAGAAGAGAACCAGTATGGAAGGATGGCACTCCTAACGTTCTAGTGGATTCACTCCTTTAGTAGTTAGAGTTGGGTACGTGTGGAGAGGGAGTGGGAAGGCCTGGGAATTGTTCCCAACATCCACACCAGGATGTGCCACTGCTGTGCCATGGATCTGGACTTCACAGAGAATTCAAGGTCAAGAAGACTGTCTTCCCACAATGAGTTCAGACACCTGCCTTGTTATATAGTCCCATGCTGCAGAATCAGATTTTTATGGGTCTTGCTTTCTTTTATTACTGCGTCCCAATTCCTATTTGTGCTTTTGTCATAAAGATAAGAGGTCTCATAAATGCAAGGGTTCTCACCAATAACCCCACCTTTACTGCCGCACCTTGATAGTCATGGTCGTCTGAAAAGCTTCTGTGTCTTCTCGTCCAAACCATTTCTGCTTCCTAACATAGGCATGCTGTTGCTCTGCTAATTGCCAGGGTCAAGCCTCAGTCAGGTGATACTTGAAAGGGGGTACAATGGACCAAACAATGACACATGGCATGTTATTTCCTTCCAAAGCCTCTGAAACTGGAAACCAGACTTGAAGCCTCACAGAATTCATCAGACACACTCCATTGTCTTTTCCTGTGTCCTCCTCCACCCCACACTGTCTTCTCGGTAGGCTGTAGTTGCAGAAGTGATACTCAGTCATGGTGACTGTGCCTTGTCAAGAATGGACAGGAGAACTCTGGCCCTGAGAGAATCAAGGGTAAACCCTAGTTTCATCATGACTGAGCAAGTCCTTTTGTCTCCTTAAGCTTCTATTTCTCCAAATAAACTAGTCAGGCTGAATTAGTCTTAAGATCCCTGAAGTCTCAGGAGGTAAGGGCACTACTAAGCACAAAACATTGGAAAATGATCACATCCTTTCTGGATTTACACAAAGAGAAAGCTCTAAATATAAATATATGTATTTTGTTAATCACTCTTAACATCTGAGGGTCTTCGCTTTTTTTCTTATAAGATTCTTCTAGGGCAACTCTTTGGCACCCATACTATTGGGCTGGATAGGTATGAGTGTGGGTGTATGGATATGTGAGTACTTGTGCTTTTAAGCCAGGCCAAACGAGTCCTAAGAACACCCTGTCTCCATGGGATTAATACATGAAGGGAGTCATCCCATATTCGCCAAGCTGGCCTCAGGCAGGGGCTATTTGGAATGGATGCCAATAGAATAAAGAAGGAACATTTTCTCCCCACTTACTCCTCCACCCTCATTCTTTGGGGCCTCCTCCAGATTTCAGTTTCTAGTAGAAATACCATTTCTACCATAACGATGGTGTATGCATTCATTATCTATGGACTGCTTACTATGTCATGAGTCCCTGCGTGATGCAAATAGTTAATGTGTTCATTTGAAAGACTGGACATTCAAGCCCACCTAAAGGTGTCTCAGAAGAAGATATGGTGACTTATTTTTTAAAAAATCATTCATAGAAACCCTGTGGAGCACAATAGTTGTACTCTGGCATGCTCCGTGAGTTGGCACCAATTCAATAACTTTGGTTTCAACAAGCAATATGCTAACTGCTTCATATGCAATTACCTCATTGAATCTCCATACATAACAACCAATTAATTAGAAATAATTCTTAGTCCTGTCTTAGAGGTGAAGACACTGAGGCTCAAGGTGAATTCCTCTGCCTGAGATTACACAGTGGGTCTGTGTCAGAGCTCCCTGGGGGATTGATCCAGGATTATTTCTACCACATCAAGCTGTCTGTCTCCTTTGCAAGAAACTGGTCACCACTTGCAGGGACAATCACTTGCGAGCAAAAAACTAGGAAACTTCAGGTGCTCATCAAGACCAGAGAATTCCAGAACTTCTTTTTCTTAGATGCTGTCAAGTTAGTTCTGACTCATAGTGAACCTATGTAACAAAAGAAAAATAGTGTGGCTTTTCTCAAGACTTAATCCCCTTTTAAAAAAATGAAGTCTATGGGGGAAAGAATAGTCTAAAAGTATTATATTTTAGGGCATTATTTTTATCGTAGGAGTATGCAATGAGGGTTGTAGAGTGGATTATATTTGGGGCTAGGGGGTGGGGTTTGGGGAGGTGCGGCGGGGGGATTGTGTACCAATGAGGGAGTTTTTCTTTTGCTTTTCAAGGAGAGGAGCAAATGGGGGGGGAGGGGGGAGGGGTTTGTGCGGGGAGAAGGGTGCAACAATGAATGAATGGAATCCCAAAATCTCTGTAGATGTTCATTGAAATGAAAAATAAACAACCTAAATTTAAAAAAAAAATGTTACCGTTGTTGAAATGTACACAGCAAAACAAATACCACCAATTTCTACATGTGCAATTCAATGACATTGATTACATTCTTCTTCTTATGTAGCCATTTCATCCTCCTTTCTTGAATCCAAATACATGATCTTGTTGCTCCCTAAGGTTCCTATATTATCTTTTAAGTTGCTTTTATTTATTTGATTTCAATTTCTTACAGACTTTACTACTCAGATCCAGCATCTCACAGGGAACTGTGCTGGCAGGGACTTGGGGAGTCCCAGATTGGAGACCCCAGTCTGCTCCATCCTTGCCATAAGTAACTTTAATGATCTTGTTGTTAAAATAAAATACAATAAAGAGCCTTCTATTACAGTCCATGGTATGTGGAAGTCTTCCAAACAAGGTACCCTCTATATCCTTGCATAAAAGTGTTCTAACAATGCTGCCACTAGTCCCTTGAGACCCTAGCCGGCCTCAGTCATGTACTGGCCTATAGCAATGTGGAACAGAAAGCCCAGGAGGTCAGTCTCAGCCCAGGATGTCCTTGAGGGGAGAAGAAGAAGTAAATAGTGCTAGAAAAGTACATAAGTGGAAGAAACCAGAGAGGAGCTGAGAAACCTTTAAGTTACAAGACTTGCAAAAGACTCCAGGAAAGAATTAAGTGTACCTAACTGGGTGGTTGTGTCATCTGCATAACGCAGATTGTTAATAGATCTTCCACCAATCCTGATGCCACAATTCTCCTCATAGAGCCCAGCCTCTCGGATAAT